CGAGCAACAAATAAATCGGTGTTAACGACAGGCCAACAGGAAAGCTGCGTGTGCAGAGCGCTGACCTCAACCCCTGGCGAAGCAAGCCCCACCGGGGGCAGCAATTTAACTCGGTACACAGGGCTGGTGGTAACCGCGGAACCCTCATCAATCTCCCTCAAAACGCCGCGTCCTGACATCCTGCTTTTCGACCTTATCGACAATGCAAGCTCCGCTGCATCGTCCGACAATTTTGAATCGCTTTTTACGAAACACCGCCGCGAACAACAATGACTGATGGCCGGCGAATCGATTTGCCCGGTCGAAACGACGCCTCCGACACCCCTTTTCCTGCCCACAGAAAAATACCACTCCCCGTGGGAGCGACAGTCGTAGAATCAAGGAGGTATTAATAACCGAGGTGTCGAGCGCGGAATAACATCGGACGCGGTTATCGCGTCTAGATTTTAGACTCTGAAGTATATCGTCTCCATATATTTAAAAAAAAACTCCATCCTTAATTCTCACCTATTTCTTTAACCTCTATTATAGCGAATGTAGCGCGTTTCCAGTTTCGCTCTTTGATCGTTTCCCTCGTTTTCGAAAGCTCGAAGACCGCCAATGAAATTAGGACCTCCAATCGTCGAAATCTTCGAAACTTAATCTCCAAAATAGCAAAGAATGACAATCGCATCGTGAACCTGGTCTGAACCTACTCTTAACAACGAATTCTCAGGAGGAGAGGAAAAGATCGATCGTCACACGGAGCTTCGAACCCTTTCTCAATATCCAAGCTGTAATTTAACCGCGACGAACTGTCCCCGGTAATCGGATTTCGGATCGATCACGCGTGTCGTTTCACTCTCGTAGACGGAATCGAAATTTTTCTTCTATTAATCGCTACCACCTCTGGGATCCAAACCATCTCTGGCCCTTCCAACCATGCGGAGTAATTCGTTCCCGGTGAAATCGAGTCTTCGCGATTCCTACGGGAGCAACGCTCCTCAAGACGCGCGAGACGCGGTTTACAAGTATTACGAAGGGTGGAAATAGTGACAGGGGGCGGGTGGTGGTTGGTCTCGTATATTGATTAGGCGCATTAGCCGGCTGGGACTTTTCGAGGCAAATTGAAAGGTTCACCTCAAAGTGCATATATATTCTGCGTCAATCGAAACCCCACACGGGAATTTCGAAGCATTCCTCTCTCTCTCTCTCTCTCTCTCTCACCCCTTTCGTCCCGCCGCCACCGCCGTTTACTTTGCCGCAACGACGGCTTGCACTCTGTTGATGCACTTTTCAGCGGCCCGGTACAAATGGAACGGACGTTCGTTTGCTCGTGTTTTGGACACCCGGTTCTTTCGTCCGAATTTTCGGCAAGCCCCTGTTTTTTTCACGGGGGAAAAATAGGACGAAAGGAAATTATTCTGCCTGAGAAATCGCTTTAAAAATGATGAAAAGGTATAGAAAAGGGAGTGACAGTTCTCTTTCTCTCTCGTCCGCTGTATTTCTTTTGTGCAGAGACCAATTTGCGTTTGAAATTTTCATACAGATAATTGAGAGAGGAGACACGATTGTTTACGGAGAGAAAGAGAGATTATGGTTCGATCGTCACGCTGGTCAAATTAGCCGTTTCACTCGGGGCGAAGAAGGCGGTTGTAACGGAGTTTGTTCGTAAAGTTGTGTCTTTGACAAAAACGAACGGGAGTGGTGAATGGATAGAACGAATTTATGCACAGTGGACACAGTTTCCAGCTGACGCGAAAGTCCACTGGCTATTCGCTCAACCATATTCCTGCAACTCGTTCTTTCGGTAAACTTCAAACGTTCCTGTTTTTATAGAAGACGCTGAACGGCGGATCGTGGAGAAGTGGGAATTGAGTGGAAAGAGTTGAAACAAAGGGGTGGAGGGAAGAGCGAGGAGGAGGACGAAGAGGCTCGTACATACCTATACATATATGCACTTTTATCGTTTTGCATCTTTTGTGTGTCGGGAAACACACGGAAAATTCCGTTTCAATCCCTCGGAGAACATTTTTTTCAGCCTACCCCACCGCCTCCCTCCCTCCCCCTGCCCTCACAGTCTGCCGTCTCTAATTAAGTCATCGCGCGTGAATTCGTTAATTAACCTTTATCCGGCGTATCGTCTGGGTTCGAGCCACTCTCTGTACGTGGTTCCCGGTATAAGCAAAGAAACACCGACATACTGGCAAATATTTAAATATGCCAACGGGTATATATTTACCGGTGAACCGATAAAATAACAAGGTAAATGTAAACAACAAACATCAAAGATCCTCTATCTCTCCACAATACCCGTTTCGCAGTATACCGCGTGGTGTACACTGGTCAATTTGCGAGCGCTGAAGAGCCTTCGCGATAGGTTCCTTCTATTTATCCTAACCGCCGTTCTCTCTTGCTGGCAGAAAAGTAGGAAAAAATACACGAGAATGTTGCCGAATGAAAATGCTCGTTTGGAAAATTTTCTCCGCGTATATCGTACGGTACAGGTAGAGGTACACACACTCTGTGTTCTTCGTGCGAATTTATCGTTCCCCCTCCCCTACGTCCTAACCCCCTTCGTACAATAATGAATTTGTTTCGATCAACGTTACGCTCGTTTGCTCGTAATTTACTGGCACCGATGCTGATCGAATATTCATGAAGCATTGTTCGAAAACGAATACCGAGGCTGCAGAATTTATTGAAAACTCCAGGAGAGAGGCTGACGCGATTTATGCACCGGGCACGTAGTTTTCGAATGTACAGCTGACGTGTGGGGGGTACAGTCCCTGTTTTCCCTCCCTGCATGCGGTGCAGTCTTGGGTAAACTTCAAAAACGGGATGCGCGGTAATAACGTTGTAGAGGCTCTGGCCGCGTGGCCAGCTTGAATACAAAATGTTCTTTTTTTATTTGCCCCCGTATCGATCCCTTTTCCCGCCCGCTTTTCTTTCTCTCTCTCTCTCTCTCTCTCTGTGTTCACGTCGATAATCGAATTCGCTGGAAATCACGGTGAAACACACGTTGAAACGTTTCACCATCGTGTCAGCTATATTAATTAAACATCCCCGGAGCGATCAACCCAGCTTGTTCGACGGTTATTACGGTTCTGGCGATCGAGCAGCGCTTCTCCCTTCTCTCCAAACAATTCTCTCCTCGATTCGGAAGGAACGTAACCCGTCCGCCGAATCGAGATTGACCGTATACCTAAGGAATTCTATTCAGAGATGACTCCGCTGATAACCTCTGTACTACGCTAGCCACCGCAGGGGAATCCGATTATTATTCCTCCGGAGGAAATAGGAACAGCGGCGAAGCAACTACGGAGGAAAAAGCGACGTAGGAAGGAAGGAGTAGAGGCGGGTATATTTTGCCGGTTTATAAAGGGACGGTGGATCGTTCGATTCTTGAGTGGCACACGTCAAACGATGGACAGTGTGACGAGTCAAAAGAGAGTGGAAAGAGAGAGAGAGAGAGAGAGGGAAAAAAGGTAACAAGCGACAGTGACGAACCACCGGTTTCGAAGATGCCAATCACACGGCTAACGTTCGCGTTTGCGTGCAGCGATGTGGAGGAAACGCGGTAGGGAAATAGAGTGCGGGTGAAACGGGTGAAACAGAAACAAAAGCGGAATACCTCCGTCGATCGAAACAGCTGCGGAGGTTTTCCCGCGGAGAAACACGCTGTGAGACCACACAAATAGGGGTGACCGGTTCGGTACACACGCAGGAGGGGTACAGAGTCGCGCGCACCGTTTCCCTGCTATCCTATAAAACGCGCGACAGGTAGGGTAAAAAGGGTAATAGAGGGGAAAGAGGAGGCGGAGGGAGTGTGGGCGGTGGAAAGGAGGAAGCGAGAAGAGAGAGAA